GGTTGGTTTTACTCACCGGATAATACTTTTTAAGGAATTCTTGCTGTAATTGAGCCCAAGAAGTGATGGAATTTGGAGTGAGTGAGTTTAACCAATACTTTGCCCTATCTTTTAAAGAAAATGGGAAAAGATGCAGATGGAGTGCATTCTCAGGAAAACCTCTCAACCGGATGGTCGAACAAATTTTAAGGAATTCATCAAGATGCTTATACGGATCTTCATTATCAAGGCCATGGAAAGATGGAAGCATTTGAATGGTACTTGATTTGATTTCATATTGAGCCGCATCGATGTTTGGCATCACTATGCATGAAAGTGAAGCATATGTAGTACGGATGAAATGGTCCCTAAGAGTCATTGGCTCTACATTTGGAATTTCGGCCCTATCATTATTAATTCCCTCATTTTTGACATCTCCTACATTTTCAGCCATTGTGTTAAATTCAGTTTCAAGTTCTCTTACGCTAGAAGATTCCCTAAGGTTTCGTCTAAGAGTTCTTTCAAGTGAATTTATGTCAACTGGCGAGTCAAGAGTTGGTAGGGAGAGTGATCTACGGCCAAACATTAACAATACATAATGCTATCAACGCAACTATTCATCATTCACAACTCCACATACGATGTTCCCATTCTCCTCAATTATCAAGACAGAAATTAAATGGCCAAGACAAGGACCGATGCTTGTACACGAAATTTAAACAAGATAATAACCTCAACAAGGGCTTCAAAACTAAATTATCACTAAATTTAACAAATGCACAATATTCACAATTTCGAAACTAGAAGGTCAAGAAACTTACCTGGAGTCCCCTAGACTTACAAATTAGCTAGCTTTCCCTCGGCAAGCTTCGAGTCCCTAGAATCTCACTTACAACACAAGATGGTCAAATTACACAAGAATATTCACAATTCATGATATTAACAATCACACTAAATTAACCCTAAAACTTCGGTTGCTAAACCATTTGTAGTCCCCGGCAAGGGCGCCAAAAATTGATCAGTTGAGAATTCGATTTATAATAAATCAACCTTCGCAATAGCACGAATCATTGTAAAATAGGGCTATTGGTCGGGTAAGTCGAACCACTAGGACTGCGCCAATCTATGGCAACCTAAGTGTCTAGAGTCTTTTTAGAATGATACGGGGTGTTCATAGAGGATTTGTTAGTTGTCACTTAAGCTATGAAATTAAGATACATAAAATAAAAGTTTGCAAGAGTTTAAAGGAGATGAAATACAAGTAAAGAGGACTAGGGAAGTTGATTCGCCTCCATCCCTATATACATGCTAGATTAGAGCTAAATTGGGGGAAAAACAATATATGATGGTCAAGAAATATATAGCAACACATAGTTGCCATATAATCAACAAGATGCACATTAAATCTCAAGCAAGCATGATCCATCAAAGGTTAACATGTTTAGACTACCTAACTAAGGCATAGCTTAACCATATTTACTTGAATGAAAGATTATCAAGCCCTAGATAAAATGATGAAGCACATGAAGGTAAGAAATAAGCATAAACTATCAAAGGCTTCACTTAAGCAATGATCTATCAAAGTACTTATCAATATGCCATTAAATCATTTCATAACCTTGTCTCCATTCTCACCATGAAAACTCAAGCAATATGATTAATATAAGACATCATCTAAAACAAGATAATCAACTTACAGAAATCATCCATACATATATCAACATTCATTACAACAAACGAAGTGCTCTTGGTTATGAAAAGACCATAGAATATACATTGTCATCCCTAAAATATAGCCTAAATTAGAGCATGCTTACAAGGGAGGGGCCTCATCACCTCCTTAGATGGAGGTTTAGTTACCATGGGAGCCTTAGAAGAAGGAAGAAGCTCGGAAGATCCCTTCATTTTCGAGCTCCTTTGTTATAGCTTCAAGAACTCAATCTTTTCCTCCTCCTTCTCTCTCTAGAAATCTTGTAAGATGAGATATGATTTTTGTTATATGTGGTTCCCCTAACCTTCTTGTAGAAATTATCCTACCAAACCCTACCAAACAAAGCTCAACTCCTACTAAAAAGACATCTCCAACCAACCCATAAAGATGGAAATCAGAAATGAGGGAATCAAGGAGCAAGTGGGCTGAAGTGATGGATCCCGGAGAGCATTCTGCCCAAAGTTTGAGTGCTCGAAGTAAGCCTTTCGAGCGCTTGAAGTTCCATCAGCTTGCTCCTTTCTCTTGACCTGTTTTGCACTACTTTGGTAAAACAGCCATAACTTTCTGCTCTGAACTCCAAATGATGAACCGTTTGAAGATTTGGAAAGCTAATTCAAAGTTCTAAATATGCTATGTTTTAATGGAAGTTCATTTCTCAAGTTTGTTAGGTCAAAAATGGCAAGCAAGGTCAAACTCCACTGCTGCCAGAACTTCAGTCTTGAGCACAGTGGTATTCAAAGAATCAACAAAACATCATTTTTGCTCCTTTTTGGCCAATGAGCCTGAAAATATATAAAAACATGCAAATGAAGTTAATCTATATAAAATAATCAAATAATGGACTTAGCTAATGCAACTAAGGGCGCTTGAATATGCAATATTCGGCGCTTATCAAAGCCTCCACGCGGGCCAACGATTTAACTAAGGAATTGAGTAAAGAAAGTCTCACAAAGGTCCTTTAGCACTTCAACTCCAAATTTTAAAGTTTAGCTTAGCAAAATTTTAAAAGTTTTTAGCATTTTTCCTTTCTTTGCTTATTTGAATTAAATGCTCAATGGCTCCTTTGCTTGTTTCTTCTCCAACAATGCACCTAGTTAAGTAAGAACAACACAATAAGTAACCAAAAAGAAAAATAAAAATAAAGTAAAAACATGATCAAAAGAGTACTAATCCTAATCAATTCCACAAATCCGACGTTGCCAAATCTATTCAAGAAATCCTCGGCAACGGCGCCAAAATTTGACGGCGGCCGTTCCGTGAATGCCAAATTGATTAATGTGGATATGCGGTTCAAGGAAAGCTTTTTGGGTCAAGTTTAAATTTATAAAAACCACTACCAACACTACTACTAACACAACAAGAGTGAGTAGGGATCGTCCCAAGGGATTATGGGGATTGAGCAATATCGGAGTTTATTGTGGAATTACTATTAGGGTTAGTAGGTCGAGTGATCAAACAATTGGTTGGTTGGTTAATTAAAGAGTCACTAAATTAAACTAAGTAATAGCAAAAGAGTGCAATTAAGAGTAAGTAAGAGAGAGAAGAGTCTTGGGGTTTAGAGATCACCACCAAGCAATGCATTTCTATATTATTGACAAGTAATTAATGAGGGTAATTAGGGTGTTGCAATATTGGTGTGTGTGTATTTGGTTGATTCAACAAGTAAGGATGACTAGTTAAACATGTATTGTCTAAACGTCATGTGAAAGGCATAATATGTCTAAGCAATGAAGCATATATTGTCTAAACAACATGTGAAATGCACAATAAATTAAAACAAGTCATTAATCCTTTCATTAGGCTCACAATCCAAAAACAACACAAAATTAGAGACATATGCTACTTGTATTCAAAAGCTTAGAACATCAAACAACAAGCATGGATTGTCCTCCCATTTAACAGTACACTACAACTACACTACATCTAAGCTACTAGCATGAAAATAAACTAGGGGAGAAGCATAATCCATCAAGAGATAAGCATGAACCATCAAGAGAATCACAAAGCATTCCTTTAAGCACTATGTTTTGACAATCTCCAAATCCATGGCATTAATACACATAGACATGTATCAACAACACAAAATCTAGAGACAAGAACATGAACATTAATTCTAGCATACATAGACATATAGATATAATGAAATGATCAATTGGAAGCATTAAACTACACAAATCATTGATTAAACAAGATCTATATATATCAAAGTGTCAAAATATTAATTACAACACTAATCCCTCAATAATACACAAGATTAAGATATAGAAAGCATGCTTGGGGCTAACTCTAGCCCCAAGAGGATGTCTAGCCACTCATGGTGAAGATGCTCCAACCCTCAAAGGCTAACTCCATGGAAGGGGTTTGCTCCTTGCTGATGAAGATCTCTAATGGTGTCTCTAGCCTCCTCCTCCTTTAAACTTCCTCTCCAGGAGATGATATAAAAATAATGTTGGCTCCTTTTTTAAAAAAACAATCCTTATCCTTATATAGGTAGGTCAAAATGACACCCAAAATGAGCTAGGGTCGTGCACATAATATTCCCTAATGATTGGATAAAGGGCAACTTTTAATGAGATGGAATTTTAACTTTTTTGAACTGGAGGAAGTTCGATCGATCGAAAGGAAGTGAGATCGATCGAAAGTAAGTGAGATCGATCGAACTTAGGCTGGATCGATCCAACTGGCTGAGCTTTTCGGAAAAAGACAAATCCGAGATATTTATGGGAGATATTTATGGGAAAAGGACAAAAATGGTTGGTGGGTGGTACAGCCGTGGATAGGATCAATTATTTGGATAAGGACAAAGGTGTTCGATCGATCGAACTTTTGGACTTAAGTGCTTTGGATCAAGGCTTGGATCTATCTTTAAGTGCTGAGATCGATCAATGTTCGATCGATCGAACCTTGGACTTGGATCGATCGAACTTGCTGTTTTGCTTCATTTTGCTTCTTTCTTCCTCCACTTTGCTTTTTTCTTTAATTAATCCCAGAATTGCTTCAATTAAGCTCTTATTTGGCTGAGTTAGCTTATTTTCGGGATAAGTGCCTGAAAATGGAAATAATACGAAATCAATCTAAAACGGTAAAGTAAGATAGATAAAGGTACTAGAATGCCTAAGCTTAAAGGGTTTAAATACGCACTTTTCAGTGCTCATCAGATGTCCACATTGTGGGAGATTCGAGTTTAGTGATTAATCAAATCTCAGAAGACTTTAGATGTTTGAATTGGCAATTAAGACCATTCCATTCATTGGTAACCTAATTGGTCAACCAATTTCACAATGTAACTTTGAAATATAGACCAAGGGCCATGAATAAAATAGCTAATGATTTAGCACAGATAGCTTCAGGAGTTAGGGTGCCGAGTGGTATGAAGGAAAGAGTAATAAAGATTACACGCCGATCTCTTCCATCAACTGAAACAAGAAATCAAATTATGGAAGAAGTCTTTGCCACTGATGTTGCCGAATTGGATGATAATGATTGGCGAATCCCTTACATCTTGTTCTTGCAACATCTAACTCCTGAAGCCGATCGAAGAATTAAAAGAAGTGCAGTCGATTATGTGCTTATGAATGGAGATTTTTATAGAAGATCGGCTGATGATGGTTTGTTATTTCAGTGCATTAGCAAGTTTGAAGGTTTGAAGATTATGGCTGAGGTACATGGAGGGATATGTAGAGCACACCAAGCTAGCATAAAAATGAGGTGGTTGATACGCCGATATGGATATTATTGGCCAAGAATGAGAAAAGATTGTATGACTTATGCAAAAGGCTGTATAGATTGTTAAAAACATGGTCCATTGCAGTGGGTCCCAGCGATAGAAATGCAATTACTAGTTAAACCATGGCCTTTCAGAGGTTGGGCTATGGATCTAATTGGCAAGATTAATCCTCCTTCATCTAAGGGTCATCATTGGATTATTCTAGCTACCGATTACTTTACTAAATGGGTAGAAGCTGAGGAATATGTATCGGTAATTCATAATACCGTTATACTGTTTTTGGAGCGACATATCTTTCATCGATTTGGATTACCGGAAATAATTGTTGTCAATAATGGTTCTGTTTTTCGAGCAAATAAAGTATTACAACTTGGCCGTGATATGCAGGTAAAAATGGTAACTTTAACACCCTATTATGCTTAAGGGAATGGTCAGGTTGAGGCTTCAAATAAAGTTGTTATTAAAATTATTGAGAAAATGATAAAAGACAAGCCGAGGCGTTGGCATGAAACCCTTTCAGAGGCTTTATGGGCTTATAGAAACTTAAAAAGGACAAGTATGGGAACAACTCCATATCGGCTAACATTTGGTCATGATGCGGTGTTGCCGATTGAGTTAAATGTTAAATCGGCAAGGGTAGCTTTGCAACATAATCTCATACCTGCCGATTATAACGAAGCTATGCTTGCCGAGTTGAAAGACTTAGATGAAGTCCAAAAACTTGCTTTGGATCACCTTATAGTACATAAAGCAAAAGTAATGAGGGCTTACAACAAAAGGGTGAAGTTCAAGTCATTTGTAGAAAGCGATATGGTATGGCAAACAATTCTTCCACCTGGGAAGGTGGATAGAGTTTATTGGCAAGTGGTCACCTACTTGGAAGGGTCCATATTTAGTTCATCAAGTATTGCATGGAGGAGCTTACAGGTTAAAAGATCTAGATGGTGAAATCCATGAGAGGCCAATAAATGGGAGATACCTTAAAAAATATAAGCCAACTATTTTTGAGCTCATAGAAGAAAAGAAAATTCTAGTAAGTCAAAATCGTGTGGATTGTATTTTTATGCAAGGTATGTAAAGATAAAATTTGCTCCTATGATAAATAAGTAGTAGTATTAATATATATTATAATAGTTAGATTGTTCAAAGAAAACTACCTTACTTCCAAAAGATTGTTAGAAAACCACATTACAGATCCATAATAATTATCATGAGATGATAAAAATTCAAGGTTGATTAAAGTTCTGATGAAATTCTTCAAATTGGGCTTTAAAACTTGCCCATGATACTCTGGTCTGATTGAGTTTCACTTCTACCTGCTTCTTGGACTACTCCAACTTTGGCATTCGAGTCTGGAGTGCTTTGAACCTTGGGGCAGCAACTTCTGCTTCTTTCTTTAGTTCTGCCACTTTGTTACTGAGTTGTGATTTGTCTTTTTGAAGCTGAGCTAGTTGTGCTTAAAGCTTTTTCTCCCTTGCATCCAGTTTAGCAGCTTCTCTTTTCAATGACAAGTGCAATTCTTTTCCATTTTTCAAAGATTGAGCAAACAGTTCTTTTTCTTGGGTTTGAGCAGCATAATGGTTGAGAGTTTGAGTAGACTCGGCATAAGTAGTAATCATGGAAGGGACTTGAAGTTGGAAGTTCTTGAAGAGAGCTTGGTCACCTAAAGAGAATCTTGGGTAACTACTCAAGAAGGACAAGGTTTTAGTTAGCTCATTTTTGAATGAAGAGGCTAAAGACAAGTCTTGTTGCACCATTTGGGATATGATCTAGATGGCTTTTGTTACTTCTGGGGGTGTGTCAAAGGTTTGTTTAGTTGGAAATTCAGGAGGTTCAAGATCAGGTGAGTCAAAGACAGAATCAAATAAAGAGTCAAGGGTTGCAAAAGGAGAGCTTGGGTTAGTACTGACAGGATTAGTTGGAATAGCCGAGCGTTGTTGTACCTGAAATATGCCATAACTATAATAAGTTTACAAGAACAGGTCATAAAAGAAATGTATATATATATATATATATATATATATATATATATATATTATACGTACTTCATCAGAATCTCCAATTTGTTCACCAATTAAAGTTGCAGCCAGGTTTGGGGAAGACACTGGAGACCTTAACTTTTGTCCTACTGATACTTCAATTTTGTCTTCATCTTCGACATGATCAGTAAAGATTTCCTGAATTGATTTTTGATCTGAGGAGACTGGAGCTTTCTGAAAATAATGCCGATTTAATTATATTCAAGGAGTAATATATATAAGATCAGGCAACAAATAAATTACATTGGGAGATTCGGTAGCAGGTTTCTTCTTCTTAGAGATGACTTTATCATTATCCGTTTCATCATCATCAATCAAATCAAAGTGTCTCTTGGCTCTTGACTTTTTGGGTTTCTTTCCTATGGTTTTCCTTCTTGTAGCTTTCTGGAGAAGAAGTTTAAGTAAGGGAATGGTATGCATCAAAAAGGATATATATGACTCAATTAGGAGTATTACCTGAGTGGCCGAAGATGGGGGAATAATTTGCAAAGGAACATAGAAATCAATGCGAGTTTCTTCAGATTTGGTAGCAGATTTCTCTGGTGCATTGGAATATGTGCCTGGAATTATGTTATCCATTGTTAAGTGATCATATAAACCAAACAGAAGTATTGTGGAAAAGACAAGGATATAAAACTTACTTTGTCAAGAGCGAGATCTAGTCCTACCTGCATGAGCTGTAGGAGGAGGACGAGTTGGTGCAATATTTGTTATGTTCTCTGGCTCAGGAGCGGTAGTAAGATCAACGGGTTTAATGGAATCCACATCTTGAAAATTGAGGGATATGAATTTGTAGGAACCAAGGAGGGTGGACATAAGTTGACTGGATTCTACAGTCCTGGTAAACTTGATATATAAAACCCACCAAGTTTCAAAGCTTGGATCTGTATACGGTTTTTCTAGAAAGGACTTGTACTGAAATTCTTGAAGACATTGGTAAATCGATTGGTAACATCTTGAATTTGTTCACTGTTTGAGAGCTTAACCCGCTTGTGATAGTTCTTGTTGTAAGAAAAATGGGGAGGCACTGGGATCATTTGGGTTAATCCAAATTGTCGAGCTAACTGTGCTGGGTTGTAAAACTCAACCCCAGTTCGGCTCTTGGGCAAATTGGGAGCAACGGTATTACAAGGTATATCTCTTGCAATCAAGAAATGGTCCCATGAAGTGATATAAAGGTCAATTTGTTCAGGTGAAGACTCAACAGTAGGAGGAAACAACCAAGATGGAGCTAGTTGACATTTGGAAAAAGGAAGGAATTGGGATTAAGTCCTGATCTTGCATTGATGGTAGAAAAATTGAAAACAGTCATTAAAGGAATGGTCTTTGGGTTAGACTCTAGCATATCCGAAAGACAGCAAAGGATCATTTGGAGCAAGTTGAATGGGAAGAGCTAGTTCAGGAAAATATGCATGTAACCAGAATTGTTAATGCCAAAGTGGTCCTCCAGACTTTGAAAAGTTGGACGTAATGAGGTCAGATAAGCCTCTGTATAAAGAAGCTAAGAGAAACGGAGCTAGTACCATGGGTTTTCCTTTCGATAGGGCAATGGCCAGTTGAGTAAGGTCCATGGTGATCTGAATGGCAGGGGCACACAACAGATATCTACATAACCACAATAGTAGAAACCATATATGTTCTTGTTCATCTACATCGGTCCCTTTTTCCCCTAACATTTCTTTTAAGAAAGGACCATGTGATTGCACATAGGGTTTAGCCCCTTTTTGTTCTGGAAAATAAAAAGAGATCTCTTCATCCTGAAGGAGATAATTGATTTCATCTCCCCCAGGCTTTAACCCCATTAAAAAACAGACATCCCTCAAGGTAGGAGCCATCATACCACAGTACAAGTGTAGTGAATTGGTTGTGGGAGACCAAAAGTGTAAAGAAGCAAAAAACAAGGCTTGGTCAAAAGTAAAAGGGATCTTACTGAGCTGGATGAGGTCGTAAATTCCCATCCTTTTCCACTGCTATCCTTTCGCTGCTGATACATGATCCACCCAGTCGTTCCATTGGAGCATTGGTGGATGCCAATTTCTAACAGAGAGGGTTGGTCTATCCCCTTCCGCTGTCAGATAGAGAGGTTTTGAGAAGGAAAGTTGTTGCTCGGCTTGGGGATAAATCGAGGATAATAAAGGAGGAAATCGATTAAGAAACACTGGGCCAAGTCCTTTAGCGTTCTCTATGATATCGATCAAGGTGGTGGTATTCAGGTCGGTAGGGGCTAGGGTTTTGATTACAGATTTTGTCATTTGGGTGTGCGATGTTGCTTCGGAAGAGGGATTTTCTAAGGTCAAATCACTTTGCTTCTGTCGTTTGCAGAGTTTCGTTCAAATGAGAGAAGAGATGTGTTTTTAGTGAAAAATGAAAGGATCATCATAATGTAATTAATGTATGACAAGATGGGTTAGTGTGATCGGCATTTTTGGGAAATCTACTCCTGATATAACTCAAGAGATTATATGATATGTTTGCAATGTCCCAATGCAATGGGTGTATTCAAATTTTGGAAGCTGAAGGGCTAAAACGGCTACCAAAATTGGGGGGCATTGTTGACACCCATTTTGGCATTTGGGTTGTAGACCCATCTTCGGCCCACTCATGGATCCATAAATCCGAATGTCCTCAGTACCCATTTTGGTAATTGGGTCCTGGCCCTAATTAGATTTGATGAATAGTGAAGTAAGTAGTAATATGGGCCAAGAGTGTAAAACCTGTGAAGCAATGATATGTTGAAAGATTGGGCCGAGAGGATAATGGGCCGAAACATGCAACAATGAGAGTGGGCTATAAGATATTTTGGTGAATCATTGAGCTGGTCTTTGTTTGGGGTGGTCTAATACAGTTAGGAGAGTGTTGGGTTTCATGCGTTGTTGGTTGAATGACATGGCAGGAATTTTAAAGGAGCAAGGTTACATACAAGAGCATTACAGACAGGATAAAAGATGTTTGAATTTTAAATACGTTAGATAAGGGCTATATATTTATCTGGTGTTCAAATAAAGATAAGAGTTAGTATTTAGTTAGGATTAGTTAGATTTGAACAATTATTTAAATGTATTGGAATACAACTAGAATGCATGTATTTAGGATTTTTGTTTTATTGTTTACTCTATAAATAAATAAAGAGGCATGTTGTGCAAGAGGTCCAGCACCCTCAGAATCAATTTTTTATTTTGTTTGCTTTCTCAAGCACTTTCCTCAAATAGCATCATTGCTATATCTATCTCTCCCTCTCTAATTCAGTCTCGTTCTATTTATCTCCCTATATCTGTTTCTCCCTATCACTTTCTATATCTATTTCTTCCCCTTTCTATTATCTTGATACGTTCACTGGAAAGTCCTTTTACCTAAGGCAATTTTGAACCCAAAGAGGAATTTTTCTGTTCCCTTTTTCCTCACAATCGTCTGAAAGTCAACTCCCTCAAAGGGACTAAAGTTGACAATTCACACATTGAACCATATATTTGGTTCTGGCACGCCTGTTCCATCTCAATTTAAGATCGGATCTTAGGAGCCGATTTTAGCGTAAACAGAAAGTTTACCATATAACAAAAAAATATATATATATATAAAAAGTAATTTTCATAAGTTGATTTGTTATATTTCATGACATATGGCTCACCCTAAACTTACTTACTTTGATGGCTACATTCAGAACATATCCAATACTCTTAGTAATTTTTTTTTTTTTGGACAAGACTTGCCTACTCATCAATGAGTAGGTCATAATTACTTACGATTGATATAGTCCAATCACAAATACACAAATAATCTATAATTACAAAATTTGAAAAGTAAAAATTAAGAAATTGAATTTTTTCTAAAAAAATTATTATCCTTATTTATTACTTTTCTGATTTTGTAATTACGAATTATGGTGACTCCAATGCTACAATGCATATGATATATGAGCTTCATTAGGACTATACCCATGATTCTTCTTACCCTCAAAAAAAGCTTTGGTAACAAAACTTTCATTTTAGAAAGAGAATTGTAAAAGTAAATCTGAGTCATGTGAGAGCACATGTTCGACTCACCCATTCTTTGCCCTCCTTTTCCCCACAAATATATATATATATATATATATATATATATATATATAGATATAGATATATAACACTAAATAATATATGTTTAATGTAAGGATAATATTTAGATCTTATGTAGTCATTTTTAATTTTAAAATAAAAAATCAAAGAATAATAGTAAATATGTATCTACCATTTCTGATATGATAATTAAAGATATATACCTATCATTATTCATTTATTATCGATTCAATTAATGGTTAGTAATGCCGGATGAATTGATTACAATTCAAATTCAATTTGTGAGTCAAATGATTATTGAATTCGGTTGTTAAGATATTATTTGATTAAACTTAAGTCACATAAAACGGAAGTAAGAGCGAAAGCGAGAGCAAATTTGAGAGTATGAGCGTGAAAGCGGTAAAATTAAGCTATAAATATAATTTGAGATCGCGGTGTAATAAATTTGGACAAAGTGAATGTAAATTGACTGATTCGAGTTGTCTATTGAACTTGAAAAATGATGGTGTATCTAACGGTATCGAGAAAACCATACTCAGAAAAAACAAAAGAAGTGAAAGTGTGTGGAAACATAAGAGGGGTATCAATTGAGAAGAATAGTGTGACATGGGATTAAACATTCTATTCATAATTATTAGGTCTAACTGAATTATTATACGGCTAAAATCAACAAATGACACGTTGAACAATTGAAAATCCCGAGGATTGCTGCATACAGCTTGCAACCTTGAAAAATTTCACATGGAGAGCACCATCTATGATTATTTTTTCAAACAAGCCTTATCTATCGTGCAATCATACTATTGGCCCCCATATTTCACGGACCATTGTCGCCGCTGATTTTTCTGTCGTTTAGCTTCTTTGCTCCAGCTTTTGGAAATAATTAATAATAAATAAATATATAAATTTAAACATAATTTAGGACCCACGGCGAAAGAATCTAATGCTGCAAAGAGAAGAAATTTGAAAAAGTAAGAGATATATGATTGGTTTTTTTGAATAAAGTTCTCAATAGCAGTTTTAAAAGGCAGTGGAATTAGGTACGTGGTAAGCGGTCTTTTAGGCTTAAAAAACTTGAGAGAAGACAAGTTAATTATTATAAAAATTTTAAATTAAATATTATCTTAAATTATATAAAATTTTAAATTAGTGTATAATCTCTAAAATTTTATATCTCATTCTCTCTTAATGAATATAGTAAATTATGAATTTGTTGTCTTCTAATTTTTCTCATCCATCTATTCGTCTCTCACTTCTATCTAATTTTTTTCTTTCCAAAGGAATAGAGCATAACTTTTATATTTTTTTAACCATGGCCAAAATGGTTATCTTATTTTGAAAAAAATAACTTAAATCTAAGAAGGGAAGAAAACAAAAAACCAAAAACAAAATAAAAGGGAATTAAATGAAATATTGATGTTTAAAGTAGAAAAACAACAACATAGCAGCTTCGTCCTCTTATGGTGAATGCATCAAGAAGTAGAGATTCACATTACTTTAGTTCGTACCTTAAATTAGTATCAAATTGATTCTAAGAGTTCTTAAAAAAATTGAAACTAGAACTAGAATAATTGAAATATAAAATCGAACTAGTTTACTATTTAGTTCGATCTTAATAGACTTAGAATTAAAATCAGAATCGTAAACTAACAATTTTTAATTTTAGAACGTGAATCAAACAATAAAATAACCAAAGCAAAGCGACGGTTCGATTTGATTCGAATGGGTTTCAATGGTTTTCTTGTGCACCCCCTTATCAGAAGGCTAGAATATCCCCAATCAAAATGGATATTAATTAAGACATAAATGAATTTTAAAAGGCTTAACGGTATATTTTCCCCATCAAAAGCGAGGGTCTTGGAACAAGTGGAAGTGAGAAAAGGAAAAGTGAGAAGTGAGAACTGTTTGGCTCCGTTTCAAAACCGTCCGTCCTTCCTTTCTCATGCGGTTGGAGGAGTTAAACCTTTCATGATTGCATAACAAGGAGCCTCTCTCTCCATTTTCTTCACCAAAACAGAACAAAATGCCAACTTCCTTGCATCTCTTCTTGCTCCTCTCTCTGTATATTTCCCTCTCCTTTGCAGGTATACTCTCTCTCTCTCTCACACACACACACTTACAATGTGTGTGTGATCACAAGCATATACATGATCCAGCACAACATTTTCTCAAAACAATTCTCCTTCCATTTTAATAATAACAACTTTTTTTTTTTTTTTTTTTTTTTTTTTTTTTTTTTTTTTTTTCGGGTTAGATAAGTACTCACATCTTACAAATGGCTCGAAACCTCAACCTCACAAGGAGTCGAGGTTATTGGTACAGCTTTAGAGTTGATATGATCTATGGCTAGCTTTTAATGTTTGTCTTGCAGATGGGACTCAACTCATCATCATTAACAACTGCAAGGACAGTGTATGGCCCGGAATCCTCGGCAGTGCAGGCCACCTGACCCCCAATGACGGCGGCTTCCATCTCCACTCTGGCGAGCAAGCCGTGGTCCAAGTCCCTGAGCAATGGTCCGGAAGAATATGGGGAAGACAAGGCTGCTGCTTCGACCAAAAAACCAATAAAGGCTCGTGCCAGACCGGGGACTGTGCCGGCTTACTACAATGCATGGCCACTGGTGGAAAACCACCAGCAACCCTAGTTGAAATGACCCTTGGAACCCCTGAATCTGCCTTACATTACTATGATGTGAGTTTGGTTGATGGGTTCAACCTCCCGGTATCAATGACCCCAATTGGTGGCGGCGTTGGCTGTGGCGTGGCGGCGTGTGAGGCCGACTTGAATGTTTGTTGTCCTTCAAATTTGGTGGTGAAGAGGGAGGGGAAGGTGGTGGGTTGCGAGAGTGCTTGTTTGGCCACAAATTCAGCTAGGTATTGCTGCACCGGGGAGTTTGCTAGCCCGAAAAGTTGCAGGCCAACAGTGTTTGCTCATCTCTTTAAGGCCATTTGCCCTCGGGCATATAGCTATGCCTATGATGATTCTACAGGGCTTAAGACATGCCGGGCTCCTCGGTATGCCATCACCTTCTGTCCTCCTGAATGAGGGAATATGTAAGGAAAAAAATGGAGCGGCAAAGAGCTAGTATTATTAATGCATGTTTACCATTATTGTCTAGTGATTGATTTTCGGTTCCAATTTTTTGTGTTAATTGTTCCTAATGTGCAAGTCTGGTCACTCCTAAAACAAGAGAGTGGAATTTTAGGCTTTCATTTTTTGGGGCTTGTCATAAAATTCCTTTCCCTCCCATTTTGAACCCTTGAGACTGATTTTTCCTCTATTTAAGTATATAACAACACTCACAGTATCAGCGCGCACCGGTGGCCAGTGGTTAAGGGGTCTCAAGGGGCGCGCAATAAACTCGGTCGTCTTGATTTCGACTCTAACTATGTCCAAAACACCCCGGTTTAAATGGTATGTGATGGAATAAAACATGTATCATTAAGGTCTTAGTCAGCATATCTCCATATGCATATAGAAAACAATGTCATGTTAAAACAAACACAGCAGAAGGTTTTATTTATAAAATCAATTATAAAGATTATTTCCCAAGGATATCACCAAAAGAATTTGCCTTGTATTGATAACGCAAAAAAACACAAAACAAAACAAAAAAACAAAAAGAAACATTATTAGAATGAGAAGTTTTCTACATTTAATATATCTGGTAGAGTCAAACAAGAAACAAAACTCCAATTGCTACCAAGGGGAATCTATAATTTTGATTGAAGAGGGACAGATTCCTATCATTATTAATTCAAACAAGCAATCTGCTCTTCAACTAGTAAAATAACACCCCGAAAACTGTGAAGAGCAATGGATTCAAAAGTTGAAAATGGAGGAGTGCATGATGATCAAGGGTTTGGTTGGGGAAGTTCTATACCTGTACCGAGTGTCCAAGAAATAGTAAGGAATGATTCTCAAAGTGTTCCTGAAAGGTACATACAAAACCAAGAAAACGGACCTCTGGATTCTGAAATAAGTTTAGTATCATCTGAAATCCCAATCATAAATTTCTCTATGCTTGCTAATGGAGATGAAAATGAACGAAAAAGATTGGACTCCGCTTGCAAGGAGTGGGGTTTCTTTCAGGTATTTCTCATCACTTTTTATTTTGATTGAAATTTTCTTTGACATTATCTCATATGAAAACACATTTTTCGTAGATAACAAATCATGGGGTGACGGACAAGGTGTTGCATAAAATGAAGGCTGCTGTGACAGTGTTTTTCGATCTCCTTTTGATAGAGAAAAAGAAGTACGCAATGGCAACAAATTGTCTTCAAGGATATGGGCAAGGCTATGTAGTCTCAGATCAGCAAAAACTTGATTGGAATGACCTGATTTTCTTGTTGACATTACCAACTAAGTTCAGGAATATGAAGCACTGGCCAACCACAATAGCAGGTTTCAAGTATGTATCTTTGGTTCTCTACACAAATAACAGATATTGTAGTTATCTAGCTAGAAAATAGGAACATATGATTTATGGGGAGCAGAGAAATCCCCCGATGAACTTTGATAATAAATGAAAAGGCTACAAAAACATAACAATGATAACACCATCACCCGGTGCACAATTATACTTGAGAATAAACTAAACTAAAATAAAAAAGAAGAAAGAGAAGTATGAGTATCAAATATCAATAGACATCCGCTTGGTACCGAGTTTTCAGAAAATAGTTCTAGAAACTGTCAACCAAGCAGATTTTGTACAGTTTTCTGATTTTCAGTTATCAGAAAACATATTGTTCTCAAAAAACTGAATCAAGCAGGCCTCATCTCTAAACATGCTTTGTTGATTTTCAATTTTTCACTTGACAGAGAAGCAATTGAAGAGTACTCCACAGAAATGCAGATAGTGACTAACAAGATCTTTGCCAATTTATCATTGTTAATGGGCATGGAAAGAGAGAGTCTAAAAGAGTATCATGGGGAGATGAAACAAGCTATGCGACTTAACTACTACCCGACTTGTTCAAGGCCTGATTTAGTCATGGGTGTTAGTCCACATTTGGATGCTAGCTCCATAACCTTACTTCTGCAAGATAATGAGACCACTGGCCTCCAAATTAAGCATAAGGGAGGATGGGTACCAGTAAAACCAATTCCAAATGCAATAGTTGTGAACATAGGCGATGCAATGGAGGTACCCACTAAACAAAATTTGATCAGATTTATATCTAATTGCTAAACTTATAACCCTCTGTAACCACAGTAAAAGATTCTTGGTTTTGTAGGCTTGGAGCAATGGAATGTATAAAAGCATTGAGCACAGAGCTGTTACAAATGAGAAGGTGGCAAGAATTTCTGTTGCAACCTTTGTTTTGCCAAACGATGAAGTGGAAATTGGTCCACTGGAAGCAGTGGTGAATGATTATCACCCTAGACTGTACAAAACTGTTAAGTATGTTGATTACGTTAGATACACTTTGGCTAGGAAAATGGATGGAAAAGCCCACACCCATTATCTGAAGACAGATAATATGTAGTTATTCAGTGTTTTATGATGTTGTTTACAGTTATCTATTTTACAGAAATGTGTTGTGCCCTATGACTCTACTGGAACGATTGAAATCCCTATATATATATATAGGATATTACCTAGTCTGGTCCCATGAGAATATGAACTTGGTTTTTTTTTGTTTTTTTTTTTCGTTAAAAGTTGGCATATGAGTAAGAACAGAATAGGCAATGAGTTACTTAAAATAAATGACACATTTTTGCAAGATCCAAGTAGCAATGTAGCATGTGGTGAATTATTTTTCATCATTGAAAGAAATATTTTAGTGTTCTTTTAGATATTTCAGTTTTCACCTACATTTCAGACAAGCAAAATGGATAACACATTGGCTAATATGAATTGTCTAAGAGGCCGGACACCAATAAATAAAAAAATGCAGAAAAGGTATCCCTGTCTGATTTCAGACCCATTAATTTCCTACTGCAACTCTATTTATAAGTGCATCTCAATTCTGCTTGTTAATAAGATCAAAATGGCTCTGCCTCACCTTATCAGCCCCTTACAATCTACTTTCCAATATTCTTCTCACTCAGGAACTGCTTCAGGGGTATCACTCTCATTCAGTCCCACCCCCACCCAAAATTTGCCTTGAAGATTGACTCCCATCAGCTGGGATTTTTTTCCTCCAATTATTACCTCTCGGATCAAGGAATGCATCACTACTCCCTCAGTTTCTATTAACGGGGAACTTCATGGTTTTTTCAAAGGTGCAAAGGGCCTTAGGCAAGATGATCCTCTTTCCCCTTCCCTTTTTGTGCTTCCTATGGAGGTGTTCTCTCTCATTTCTCGCCACACCATCTCCAATAGTCCCTCCTTTCACTACCATTGGAGATGCAAAGACATAAACATAAGCCACCTTTGCTTTGCTGATGATTTTATGTTGTTCTTACACAGTGACATCCAGTCAGTCCACCACATTCTGAAAAATGCCCTTGTTACCTTCTCATCCATATCAGGCCCTACCATCAACAACTCGAAGAGTTCTGCCTTCTTCTCCAGTGTTAATCATGTTACTGGGCTTTAAATCCTCTCTATGCTAAGGTTTGAAAAAGGTTCTTTGCTTATTAGGCACTTAGGGGTGCCTCTCATCTCTAAGGGTTTAAAAGCTACTGACTGCCAAGCTTTGGTGGATAAAATCATATCTACTATTAATCATTGGACATCTAGAGCTCTATCATATGCATAAAGGCTACAGTTGATTAAATCTACTTACATGGCCATCATCCTCTACTGGACAAGCATTTTCATTCTTCCAATAAAGGTTATCAATGATATTGACAGAATTTTGGGTGCTCGACTCTACCAAGTTGGCCCCTAGGTAATGTCCGAGGGAGGATTGAGTGTCCCTAATATTGTGCTATGGAAAAGAGGCTGCTATCCTAAAGATGATTTGAAATTTTTTTTGGATGAAGAGCAAGAATCTATGGGTTGATTGGATTGAATGCTAATTACTGAAGGGAAGGAGGTTTTGGAGGGTGAACATACCTAAACAAGCCTCATGGACATGGAGGAAATTGCTGCAGCTGAGACCATTGGCTTGGCATTTCATCAAGCACCACATAAATTTGAGCTTCTCTAATGATGGTGTTTTGTGTGCTAAAAAGCTGAAATTTTAGATTCCCTAATGATAGTGTTTTATGTGCTTAAAAACTGAAATTTTTATGCCTAATTGTATCATATATCCAAGTGTATAAATGTGTGAATCAATGCATGCTTTCCACTAAAGCTTACAACCTTTGTCCCTTGTGAATTTCATTTTTGAATTTATTCTATAACATGACTAGACTTGATTTAATTTAGTGGTTATAAAAGTATGAATATAATGATGTGTTAGTTGTGTTTTATGTGGCTGTTGCGCTATCTTATGGCATGATTGATGATTGTATATATCATGAATGTTTTGGGAATGAACATATCTTCTATGTCTAAGATGCTTTGGTTATGATGTTGATCATTTACATTTGTGATTGTGTTATTACATGAAAACTGTTATGGTAAATTTATTCTAAAGCATGGTCAATAGAAGTAAGTTTTGATGTAGAAATTCTGTGGCAATATGATATAGAGAAGCATGTTTCATTCATACATTTAAAAAGTGTGTTTTAGGCATCTCCTACTGAACGAAGTGTCATTCACCCCTCTATTATAACCATTTTCAGGTTACAAGAAAGAAGATGTTCCTCCACAAGTTTGGACAGGACTAGAGAGAGACGGTTTATGACATTCTTTTGTAATAAAAATCCTATATTGTATAAGTATTAGCATATAACTTGTTTAAGTCTTGTAAATGATAGCAATGTAAATGTAATCCTATGCATTTGGGAAGCATGTTTACATGTGTTTTGGGGACAACGGGTAATGATGCCATAACCATATGGTCCAATATAAAGCAAGGTTAATGAATATATGAGTTTCAAGTCTCTTTGGGCTACCATGTATTTGATTTCATAAAGGATGTTGTGATGTACATTTAGGCCATCAAGTATGCATTTGGGATAGGTTTTGGAGCATTTAAGATGGCTTCATAACTCAATGAACAATATAGGAAACAAGCCAAGGCTAAAACATGGGTTTGTGCTCGAGCACAGGGTCTAAAATGGTGAAATCCTTAGAGCAATTTTTTGCACTTTGACCTGAACTTCAAACAACCAAATTTTCCTTATTTTAAACCCAAATTAGGCCGTTCTTAAGTCTAAACTAACCGGCTCGAAGTCAGCTTTCCAATGGTACTAATAACAGTCATAGATTCCATTTATGGAGGGAGTGGCCTCATTAGTGCAGACTACTCTAGAAAACTTTGAAACCAAAAAGGGTGCAATTGTGTGAAACCATCATTCTTATGCATATAACCTTATAGCATGAGTCCAAATGACCAATTAGACTCATACCACAAGGCATCTCATTCACTTTCATACCTTAAGTTGACCATTTTACCCTTGGGTGTTTTTGGGTTCGGGTAAGAACCCTGTGACGGCCCAAGTTTTTCAACCCTGTGCGTCAATGATGAATTGAAAGTTGATCCGATAACGGATCCGAAATGCGGAAGCAAAAGGTAAACCGAGGTCTTAAGAGATAAGAGTCACTCCTAAGACACAAATATGACCCTCCATGAGTTCATAAAGCTCAAAGAGAACAAAGACGGAAACAAGGGTCAAAAAGGATAAAATTCGTCATCCAAGGAGCAAAAAGGTCAATTCATAATTAAAAGGAGAAACCTAACTCTAAACAAGTCGAACAAGGTTAATACAACCTAATCTAATTATTTTGATACATTCTAAGAGGTTCCATGAACATTGGCTAAGAATCCCACATAATGCCCTATCCCGGTTGGAGTGAAAACTAACACTACTTCACTAAAACATGAATAACTCCCACTGTGTTTGGAATCTAAGGATTGGATTGGTATCATTGGAAAGCTGACTCAAAATCCTTGATTTAAGGCTCAAGAATCACCCCATTTGGATTAGAAACAAAGAAGTTATGACCCTTTGAAGTTGGAAGATCAGTGCTGAAACTCAACAGAAGCTAGGCTGGGGATCAAGCTATTTCGGTCGACCGATATGGAGTTTTGGACAACCGAAATGAAGATGCTGAGAGCTAAAAACATGAAGAAAAGGTTCATGTTGCTTCGATAGACCGAAAGAAAGGTTAGGTCGACCGAAATGACTCATGAACAGTGCATTTGGCTACTAGAATGTGATTATACTGTGCATTGGCAATTCCATTTGCCATCGGTCGACCGAAATAGAGTTTCGGTCGACCGAAACACCATGAAAAGCTGCTGAAAAAGCTGCTATGAGCCCAAGGTGTTAAGGTTCAACCTCAACTTTGAATCCCATGATGTTTTGGTTCACAATGAGTATGTAAAACTGATTTTTCATGAGTTTTAAGAATGTGAACATGTCAACAACTTTGATATGAATAAATAAACATAAAAAATAGCCCATGGCCTCATACACATTATTTACAAGATTTTCATGTGTCAAACCTCAAACTTTGGTTTAAATACATTTTTTGATGCAAAGGTTGATACCAAAAGTGTCTAAGTACAAAAGTAGACCTGCTTGGCCCTTGGCCTCTTTACAAACATGCTTATAATGTCAAAGTAATTACTCAAACATCTTTACATATCAAGAAAGCTACTAAAACTCCAAAAGTGCCATACACCCATAGCATTCAAAATATGATATCAAAAGAAAGGCATGCTAAACACTTGCATGTCAATATACAAAAATGCTTCAAATAACTCAAAAGCTTCTAAGGATGATGAGCCTCCAAGAACATAGTCTCTTTACCTGAAAAACTATCCAAACCACTAGGGTGAGTAATCAAGTAACTCGTAGGATGTGGTGCATGTGCATACCCTATAGTTTCAAGTATAATGTGAACCAAATATAGACCATCACAAGGGTGCATTCCACCTAACGTCTATGTTCCCATGGTTCTCTAAGGGATCATCTCAATTTATACAAATGTTGGAACGGTAAACACGTAACATCCAAGTATACATAAGCAAGTACACTAACCACATTAAAACTAAGATTTACCAAATCACAAGCTATAAGAAATCCATGATTTACAACTTGGAAAGTAATGCGAAATCAAGTAATGGAAAGACTAGGATATGTCGCCACGAGACCATACAAGTTATTTAGGGTAATTATGACCTATAAGGTACTACCTAGTGCGCACTATGACTTAGGAGAATTCCTATCCTCCGTATTAGAGCCAAACTCTAGCCATCAAACATTTCATATCCTTACAAGCTTCCAAAAATCAACTAGTTCATGACATTTATACAATCTCAATGCATAAACTACCTACCAAGCACAAGTAGGGTAAAACCACACAAACCATGCCCTAAGGTTTCATGTCTAAAGTGGCAAGCTAATGATATTACACATTATGCCACATGGATTTAATATTAATGTAGGCCACAATTACTAATTATGCAATATAGTAATTTACCTACAAGTAATTTCAAGTGATACGTACAAGACTTTCAATGAATTCTATATTACTTAACAACACGAGTAATTTCAAGATATTCATCATAAACCCTCAATGAAATCACAAGTATTAGGTAAATCATTAAACAATAACCTACCTATACAATTTAATAGTCATATACATGCTTTAATCCACAAATCCTAAGTCAAGCATATAAAATCTTTATTTACATGAAAATACAAGAATTTTAAAGCATGTAATCAATATATATCAAGCTCCAATATATATAAAACCCAAAGAGGATAAACATACAACCACCCCTACCTCAATAGAGAATTGAATCTCTATAATCCAAGCAACCAAGCTCTAAATG